GAACTTGGATGGGGAAAATAATTATATCTTTATTTTAATATAATTGGATTCCTTTGTGATTCTAGATATTTTACTTTATGCATTTAAAAGCATTAATCTGAGACAGGGTCCACAGGCTTCCCCAGACTGCCAATGGGGTCCATAACAGAAAAAGAGTCCCTGACCTAGATGATCTCTAAGGTTCTATGAACTTCTAGCCTGAAATTTATGGGACTATGACCTTCTTATCTATGATTGAGCAAAACTGCTGAAGGATGCCTTGAATGTGGATGGGTAGAAACATTTCCTGATAGGGATGCACTGAGGAAATGCCAGGGTGGATGACTCTAGCATCCCCCTTCCTGGGAGCCTTTCAAGCCAAGGGAAAGTACCATATGTATGACAAAGTCTATGTGTAGGGATATAAGATGATTTCTCAAGAATTTTTCAAACCTCAAGCATCTGTAGTTTTAGAACAGGAGAAAATAAAACAGAAGCCAGAGCTGAAAGGGACGTAAGAGATCAGCTAGTCCAAACTCCTCATTAGAGGAGGAACTGAAGCCCAGGCAGGGGAAGTAATTACCCAAAAGTAAGTAAAATTATTTATTCTATTATCAGCAAAAGACTCTGACTTTCTAAAAGAGCTGGAATCATGGCACAGCATTACTTATCACCTCAAAGAAATCTACCTTGTCTCAAACTCCAAAACATATGCCATCTCCTTTTCAGAATTGTGAAGTAGTAGGATGGTCGCTGATAGATAAGCTATGTGGCTCAGTAAATAGAGCACCAGGTCTGGAATCAAGAAGACCTGAGTTCAAATCTGGCCTCAGAAACTTACTAGCTGTGTGACCTTGGGCAAATCACTTAACCTCTGTTTCCTTATTGGTAAAATGAAGATGAAGAAAACACCTCCCTCCCAGAGTTGTTGTTTGTAAAGCTCTTCACAGAGTGCCTGGCACATAACAGGCACTAAATACCAGCTAGTGACACTGGGCAAGTCACTTAACCTTGTTTGTCTCAGTTTCCTCATCTGCAAAATGAGCTGGAGACAGAAATGGCAAACCACTCCAGTACCTTTGCCAAGAAAACCCCAAATGGAGTCATGAAGAGTCAGACACAACTGAAAAATGACTCAACAACAAGCTGTGGTTATTACATGGCAAAACTTCTCCCTTACTTACTTTTGGATGGGTCTTCCCAGATTTCTTCTTCAGAGTCCTACCCCTTTCTGTACTCTCTCCCTCTCCTTCTTTCCCAGAAACCTGACTGGAAGGTAGAGTTGGTAAAGATATATAATGAAGTCAAGAAAGATAAGTTGGGGCAAGATTGTAAAGCAAGTTTCCAACCAACCTATATCCACAATGCTGAGAGATTTAAAGCAAAAGATAGATGCCAAGAGGTGGCGTCAGTTGGGAAAAGCTTCATGGAAGTGGGGAAGGAGGGACTCACCATCAGAGTATTCAGTGAAAAATACTTCCATTTTCTCATGAGAGAGGAGAGGTGGTGGACTACAGGTGAAGAATGAGGCAAACCTCCTTAGACATGTCCAATATATTGGTCCTTACTTACATAGTTCATGGGTAGAATGTTGGACTTGGAGCCAGGAAGACCTGAGTTCAAATTCTCCCTCAGATACACTACTAGCTGTGTAACTCTGGGAAAGTCATCTTATCTTTTTCAGCATTGATTTTCTCTACTGCAAAATAGGGATAATAATAACACCTATGTAAGAGGCTTGTTATGAGGATCAAAAAAGATAATACATGTTTTAAAAAATGCTTTTTGTTGTTGTTCAGTCATTTCAGTTGTGTTCAACTCTTCATGACCCCATTTAGGGTTTTCATGGCAGAGATACTGGAGTGGTTTGTCATTTCCTTCTCCAGCTCATTTTACAGATGAGCAAACTGAGGCAAACAAGGTTAAGTGACTTGCCCAGAGTCACACAGCTAGTTAAAAAATGCTTTATGTGAAATGAGCAGAGCTAAGAGAACAACTTATACAATAACAACAATACTGGAAAGCTAAAAGGACTCTGATCAACTCACTGATCATCCATGATTCCAGAGGACCAGTGATGAAGCATGAAATCTACATCTTAATAGAAAGTTGATGGACTCAGGGTACAGAATGAAATATATTACAGATATGTGTGTGCATATGTGCATGCATGTGCATGCATGTGTGTAGCTCTCTATCTATCTGTCTATCTATCTATTTGCCACTGCCAGTGAGGGAATTGTTTTTCTTGACTATGCATATTTGTTAAAAGGATCTTACATTTTTCGTTTATCCCCCAGTAGGATAAGGATGGGATGGAGAGAAAATAGATTTCTGTTCATCTGTATTTTAAATTAATTTTTAAAAATTAATAAATGCTTGTTGAATAAAAAAAATGCTTTACAAACCTTAAAAGTACTATGTAAATGTTAGCTATGACTATTATTCTTATTACAAGGGAGAGTTCTTTGGGAGAAGGGGATGCTGTGAAATTAAGATGTATGTGTGCATGTGTGTGTGTGGGGAGAGAGAGAGGGAGAGAGAGAGAGGAGTCACTAAACCAAGTGAATAGAAGCACCAAGACTCAGAGGATGGAAGCATTTTGCCTAAGGTCATACATCCAGGGAATAGCAGAGCTGGGGCTTGAACTCTGGTCTTTTGACTCCAAACGTAGAACTCTTTGCACTACTCTGGGAAGGAAGAGATCTCTTGGGTGAGGTGGTAAATGGGCAAAGCTTCTTTCTCTCTGTCTGGCCTTACAAATGACCCTCTGTTAGGCACAATTGCAAACCCTACTGAGTTGCCTCTATCAGCTGCCCCAACTGCAGCTTTCCTCTCACACATCCTCAATGGCCACCTTCGTCTGGAATGTCTTTGTTTCTTCTTATGGCTTTTGGAGGGTCACTGTTTAAATAAATATCTCCAACTCTCCACCTAGCCCAGCATTTCTCCCCAGGGAGCTGTGGTTCTGATCATCCAAGACTGTGGTGTAATAATAATAATAATAAATTGGGGCTTGGCAGTGCATCCTAAAACACTTTTTTGTTTGTCTTCCTCATTACACTAGCTCAAGCTGATATTAAGATTCATCTGCATTCCCTGTGCACACACAGACTGACAGATGGTGGGGGAGGTGGCTGGGGGCTGGAGGAAGGGGAAGCCATCCTGTGATAAAACCTTGGCCTTGGACAATCCACAGAGCACAGAACCCACAGGCAAAGCACTGAGAAAGGGCTTTCTAATCCCTTCTGAGGAGGGGCTCCCTTCTCAGTCTGGGGAGATGGACTTAAAATTTTGAGACTTACATCAGACCTCAGAGGTTAGATGGTGATATCTCCTACCTTCCAAGACTACAACAATACTATAGCAACCTTCCACCCTCCACCCACAGCCCTCATGTGACACAAGTTTCCCTCAAAAAACACCAATAAGGATTAAGGGAAGGTATTTCCTGGTCAGACAACAATCATAGAATCATAGATCGAGACCTGAAAGGGATCTTTGAGGCCATGATGTCCAACCTCTTCATTTTACAGATGAGGAAACGGAGGCACAGAGAAGTTAAATAACTTGTCCAGAGTTGTGAAGCTAGTAAGTATATGAGGTAAGGGCTTTTAGCCCTTATTTGGGTGGATTTTAAAGTATTTATGTTCGCCCTCATTTTGTTCTCCCTTTTAATTTGCTTTTGGAGGTCTTCTGAGAGGCAACACTGCTGGAACTGTTGAAAACCCAGGGGACTCTGACCTCTAGACTTGGGTGACTGAGTCACAGGAAGCAAGAAGCAGTAAAAGAATAAAGAAAAAGGAGCTGCAGGAGGTCTGTCCGGCGTCCAGTCCCATGCCCCTCCCTCACCCAGCCACACTCCCAGGAAGCCTGGGGTCATCAGTACTGACCCATCAGCCACAATTCAATCAATAAACTCAAATTGAGCACCTACCACATGCAAAGCCCTTTTGAAGGTATTGAGACGGACATGAGAGGATACCTGCATCCAATGATTAGGGTCTTGTCCTCAGCCCCAGTCCCAGAGAAACCTTTAGAAAGGGGCTGGATGAGAACACAGGCTGACGAGGGCCAGAAAAGATGGTAAATGTCCCCAGCTCTGGGGTGATTGAGAAGACTGAGGTGTAATGAAGTGACTAGCTCTAAGTGGGAGGGAAAGTTGTGCCCAAAGTAAGAGAGAAAAACTGACCAAAGGGGCAGCAGGAGAGACTTAGCCTAGACTTTCAGAAGACAGAGAATGTGGAAAAGAATCCAGAAGGGGAAAGTATCTTTCCTCTCTGAAGGATCTTTAAGGATGAGACACTTTTGGTGGTTTTAAAGAGGTCCCAGTTCAGCTACAGAATGATGGTCTTTCCACAAGGGATGGTTTTAAGGAAGCCTCATTTAGCAGCAGGACCACCCTTCCCTTCCATATCTCACCCTCCTCTTTGGAGTTAGGGACTTGATTTCTTTGGTATAGGGACTCCTGGGTGAATAAAGTCCCTCTGCCAAGACAGGTCAGCACCTGGTCTTAGGGTTGCCTAGACCAGTCTGTGTCCAACTCAAATAGAAATGCAAGCTACCAAAACCACACATAAGAATTCCAGAGAGTCACTTATTGATTCAGGAAAACAAATATGAATATTCTCCATGTTTTATTGCAATTTTATTTATTTTGTTAAATATTTCTCAATCTGGTAGGGAGGCACTGGGGAGTGTAGTGGGTCCCACCCGGTGATGTGTTTGACCTCTCTTACCCAGGGTCACACAGCCAGTATATGTCAGATACAGATTTGAACTCAGATTTTCCCAGCTCTGAAGCAGTCTAATCTATGATGCCGCTTCTAGAGATGTATGGGGATGGATTTCTGGATCGGCTGTCTTCCTGGAGAACCCAAGTCCAGGGGGCCTGAATGAGGAAGGTCACAAGTCCACTGCAGCCCTGAGTCCTGTCCAGGAGCTGTTCCTTAGCCCCAAATCCTTGCTCCTTCTGGCTAGGAGGAGAGGACGTCCTGGGTTCCCCGGCCTATGGGCCGGCAGGGGAGGAGTTAACTCCGGAGGTGCCGGCTCGACTCACAGTACCTGCTGCCGCCGCCGCTGCCGGTGGGAGGGAGAGAGGGAGGGACAAGGAGAGAGGGAGCCGGCTGGGCGGCGGGAGCGCTCCAGTCTGGGCCCGCGCTATAGCCTGAAGCAGAACGGGAGGGCTCCGGGAGGAGTGGGCAGACTGTGACGGGGGCACGTACGCCAGGGGGCGCGCCAGTCCGAGGGGAGGTGGGCTGCCAGGGTAGGGGGTAGGTTCACCTCTGGAATTAGGGCTGCAGGGAAGAGGGGGTGCGAGCCAATCCAACGCACATCTGGAAGAAAGCAGGGGGGCCCAAGGGCGGCGGCGCCAGTGTCACTGGAACCGAGAGGCGCGCAGAAGACACATCTGGAACCAAGGAGCGGTCGCGCAGCTGGATCCAGAAAGGAGCTCAGAACGCACAGCTGGGACTTAGAGGTGGGGTGGTGGGCTAGCACCTCGAACAGCTGCAAGAGAGGGAGAGGGCGGCCACACAGCTGGACTAATCAGGGGGCGGGGCCAGCGTAGACAGCTGGAAGTGGGAGGGGCGCTTCCCGCAGGGAGCCGGAGAATGGAACTGTGAGCCTAAAAGAAAGGGGCAGGTGAAGGGGGCAGGGTGGTACCCTAAGAAGAAGGAGGGAAGGAAGATGCAGCTCACTCGCTGCTGCTTCGTGTTCCTGGTGCAGGGCAGCCTTTATCTGGTGAGTAGTCCGCGGGGAGATGGGAGGAAAGGGCCCTAGGTCCCTAGCGTGAAGGAGTGGGGGAGGAACGCGGGAAGCTTCCGAGGACCGAAACTTTCTCTCCCACTCCCACCTCGCAACTTCCCGAGGCTGGAGCAGGAGAAGAGAAAGAGTCTTGGGGCTGGGGCAAAGAATTGTGCAAGAAAGGGTTAATGGACCCAGAGGGTTGGGTGGCACGTCCCTCCCACAATTATTCCCGGGTGAGAGAGAGGAGTAGGGAATGCAGGAGGGAGGACAAGTCCTAAAGGGTTGTGGAACCCTTTCTTATGGGACGGACCCAAGGGTGTTAGCCTGTGTCCACCCCCTCCACCCCCGCCCCCGCAACAGATCTTAGCCCTCCGGGAATAACTGTAGATGGGTGGGAGGGAAGAACTCCTGATTTTATTCTGAATCAAGGGCCGTCCCCTCTACCACTCCTCCCAGGTTCTGGGGTCCCCCAGCGCGGAGTCAGATCTGGAGAGGGTCCGGCCCCCACCTCCCTGACTCTCTCTCTCCTTCGCTCCCTCCCTTCCTCTCCGCCTGTTGTTTTCCTCTCTTCTCTCGGCTGCGCGCAGCCCAAGCCCCACAGGACCCTGGCAGCCGGCTCCCCGCCCCGGGCTCTCTCGGCAGCTGAGCGGAGCTCCCTGATTCCCTGTTCCCTTTTCCCTGCTTTCCGCCCATCGCCACGGAAACCGGTCCCCCTCCCCAAACTCCTAGGCTTCTCCCCTGCAACCTCCACTTCTGTGTTTCTGACCCAACCCCTGGCCGGGCAAGCGGAGTCTTTCTCTTACACTTGTTCTCCAGCCCCTACCTGACCCCCCCCTTCCCAGGTCACCTTTTCTTTCCCACCGCCTCTACACCGCTCCTTAAATTTTACTTGGAAGCCCGATCCCCAGATGCACACTTTTGGCCCTGTGCCACATCAACTAATCCTACCCTTCCCCCATCCTACATAAAACAGCCCTCTTCTCAGCCAGCCAGCCACCTGTGGCCTTCATCTCTACTCCGCACACCTCCATCCCCACCTATACACATCTGGGTCTATGACTCCTAACATTTAGCCTCCCTCCAGGACCCATGTCCTCTCCTCCCTTATCCTCAGGTCCAGGAGGCTCACCTGGCAGGGGGAATCCAGTCAATCAATAAGCATTTATTAAGCACCTAGTATGTGCCAGGCACTGTGCTAATGATATGGAAATGGATACACAGTCTCTGACACTGGCAGGAAGAAGGAAAGGTATTTCAAAGGGATCAGTAGCGCCCTTCAGAAAGGTAAGGACATCTGTCTCCTTATCACTAAATAACCTTTTTACCACTGATCTTTTCCAAGTTAGAGTCAGGGAGCTGTCCAGCATTTCCCATATGCCATACAGTGGACCTAAGTCAACATTCGGAAACACACATGCAAGTCCAACAGAGACACATTTACAAAAATACCCTTGCACACATACTGTGTTACCTTCAGGCTACTGTGCATGGGTTAGATTCCCTCAGGTTGTCCATATGCTTGGACATCCTTTCCTAGCAGCAACCTTTCCCTTCCTCTCTCTTCCAGAAAAATTAGTCAAGGGAAAGGGAAAATTGGCATTCTGTAGCTCAGGTCTGTCTTGGGAGGTCTCTCTCTCTCTCTTCCCCCCCATATACAAATAGATACAGGTATATAGATACCTCTATATGTAGACTATGTGTGTATCTTTTATATATGTGGATATATTTTTATTTATGCATTATAAACATGTATGTATATAAAACACACACACACATATCTATCTATATCTATATCTATAGTATATATAGATATATATATATATATATACCTCCCCAGTCATGGATACAAACTCTTTGTTCTTTGGTCCATGTTGATATTCTATTGTCTGCCCTTTTTATGTCTGGGCTTCAGTTTCCAAGTAGGATCTCCTGATATAGATTGAACATATTCTCTCAAGCTGGGGCTGTACTACTTCTATGCTAGTAAGATTTCAGGAGGAAGAACACCAAAATTGAAGGCATAATGATGATGATGACAATGATAATAGTGGCAAAACTTCACATATACTGCTTTAAGATTTACAAAGGGCTTTCTTACATTAAACTATTGAGTTTGATAATGTAAGTATTATTATTTCTGTTTTATTGATGGAGAAACAGGCTTAGGGAAAGTAAGTTATTTGTTTCTGGTCACATAGCTTAGTAAGTGTCCCAGTTGGAATTCAAACCCAGATTTCTCCTAACTCCAGGTTCAGTGTTCTCTCTACCATAGAGGGGTAGGGAATTGGGGATGTGAGGAGGGAGAAGAAAATAAGAATCAGGCAAGGGCAACTTTGAGCTCAGGGCAGATGTTCTGCATATAGTACGAGTTTAAAATGGGAGGAAGAGAGGGGTGCTCCTTTGTCCCATCAATCAATCAACAAGCAGTTTCTTGTACCTACTCTGCACCAGGCACGGTGCTAGGCAATGGGGATACAAGTACAAAGAATTAAACAACCCCTGCTTCCAAGGCACTTACAATCTGATGGAATAGACAACAAGTACATATAAAGTATATGCATAGCATAAAATGTATATAGTATATGCAAAGCCTAAAACCCAAACTAATACATGTGAAGTAGTTAAATACAAGGTAGCTTGGAAGGAGAGGACACTAGCTTTTAGGGGTCTCAAGAAAGGCTTCATGTAGAAGATTGGCACTTGAGCTATGTTTTCAAGGAAGAGAGGGACTAAGGAACCAGAGATTGTCAGTAATGAGGAGGAGGAGTTAGCAAGAACTAGGCCACGTAGGTTTGCTATAGACAGGACTCTCACCTTTCTCTCCTCCCAACTCCCCAGGTTATCTGTGGCCAAGATGACTCCCCCTATGGTTCTGATGACCCTGAACATGATGATGCTGAGGGACAACCTCGGTCCCGGGTGCCTCGGAAACGGGGACATCTCTCCCCCAAGTCCCGTCAGACTGGCTCCACACTCCTTGGGCTGCTGGCCCCACCAGGGGAGTCATGGGGGGATCCAGGACAGCCCCCTGCCCATACCCACCATAGTGCTGCATCTCCTGCCAAGCTGAAAAAAATCTTTGGCTGGGGCGACTTCTATTCCAACATCAAGACAGTGGCACTGAATCTACTGGTTACAGGGAAGATTGTGGACCATGGCAATGGTACCTTCAGTGTCCACTTCCAGCACAATGCCACCGGCCAAGGGAACATCTCAGTCAGCCTAGTGCCCCCCAGCAAGGCTGTGGAATTCCACCAGGAGCAGCAGATCTTCATCGAAGCCAAAGCATCCAAGAGTTTCAATTGCCGGGTGGAGTGGGAGAAAGTGGATCGGGGCCGGCGGACCTCACTCTGCACTCATGACCCTGCCAAAACCTGCTCCCGGGACCACACACAGAGCTCAGCTACCTGGAACTGCTCCAAGCCCTTCAAGGTCATCTGCATCTACATCGCCTTCTACAGTACAGACTATCGGCTGGTCCAGAAGGTGTGCCCAGACTACAACTACCATAGTGATGCCCCCTACTATCCTTCTGGGTGATGCCCTGGGTGGGTAGAGGGGAGGACCTTCAGGGACCTTCCCTCCCTCCACCACGGGCTGAAGGGGATTGTACCACCAGAGGAAGAGGAGACCTAGGGGGCACAGGGTGGGAAAGAGACTGGATTTCCAGGCAGGAAGGGAGAGTGAAAGCAAAATTGTGGGGTATGATCAGAGTAAAGTCAAGCGAGAAGGAAAGGGAAGAAAGTTTTGGAGTGAGAGCTATTGAGTAACCTGAAACATGTGAAATTGAGAAGGGATAGGTTCTAGGTAACGGCCTCACAGGAGACTGAGTTGTGGGTAGACATTGAGTTCTAGGGGTCTGAGGGAAGTGGGTTAGAGAAGCCTCTGGCAAAGATCTAGAGTCAAATATCTCTAGGGATCAAATGATGTAGAGGCACCTTAGTTCCCTGGCCACTATACTCAAGAAGAGACAGACATGAAATGGTGAATATCTTCAGAGAAAATACAAAGTTGGAAGGGCTCAGGAAAGTCTGCAGTCAGGAGAAGGGCATTTCCAACAGCCTGGGTGGAAACACTGAAGATGAATTTGGATTAGAACAAACACCCATCCTAGTGGTTGAGAATTGTCAGCACCTAGTCCTTGAAGGTCAGTAGAGTGAAGTGGGAGGGATAACCATCAGTCATCAAGATCTCAGTTAATGGAGGACCCTCTTTGCCACATCCCTCATCTTTAAGAGCCACTCTCTCCTGCTAATAAGGATCTCTAAGGGGATCCTACATCCCACTCTCAGATAATGTTGGGAGGCATACTCTGGTGGGATAAGCTTTGTGAGAGTGTGGGAAGAGAGTCTTCAAATCCCAGCAAAAGGTTCACTGGGAACATATGAAAAGACATTCAGACATTGTACTGTTAATGATCTCTTCTCCTCTGCCCCCCCCAATGCCTCCTGAGTCTCCTCCTCCTGTATTGGGTATGTTTCCCCAAGGGAGTAAGCTTGGGAGGGAAGACAGAACACCTGAGTCCCCTCTGCAACCTTTGCTTCCTTCACCCCAGATGACTCTAAGGGGCTGCCAGTTACTTCAGAAGAAGCAAGGCTGAATGAGACAGAGGGCACTAGGTCACTGTTTCAGATGTTCTGTGGTGTCTGTGGGGGGAGGGAGGGTTATGGTGGGATGAAAGGGAGGGCAAGGGGATGTCTTGTAAAATTACTTTGAATGTTGACTTCTGTTTGCAGAATCATGTTTTTGGAACAGAGAATAAAGCATTCCCAGGACTTGGGAATCTTAGTTGTGTAAAAGAGAGAAATGACATTTGCTTTACCCATGCTCCATCCCCACATCCTTTCCTTATCCCTAATTGGTCCATCTTAGCATTTCTGGTCTTGGAGCCCAGAGCTAAAAAGCTCTTGCCCAGTGTTTAGTGGGGGCCAGCTGCAGGCTCCAGGATTCCTCCTTCATTCTTCCTCTCCTTCCAAGAGTCAGTGTTGTGAAATAAGGCAATGAATTACTAAGCGAGGATCACTGAGCTGTTTTGAGGATATTTGGCAGAGCTGCATGATCAATTAGATCAAGAGAAATTCATGCTGTTCCTTCCTCCTCTCCTGGAAGCTTAGAAAAGAAGTCTTCAGGTAGTGTGACAGAGGGAAGGGGAGGTAGGTTCATGGAAAGAAATCTGGCTTCTGGTCTGAGCCTTGTCACTGAATTGCCGTGTAACCTTGGATAATCTGCTTCCTTTTATTTTGAAATGTTCATGAGTTCTTCATCTCTAATGTGAGATGATGCCCTGAAGGGCTTCTAGATTCTGGACATTACATTTCTAGAAAATCTGTAATTCTAAGTGCTTTTAAAATGGAGAATGTACTATTCTTCAATTTTTGTATTATTATTATTGCTTCTGCCTGCCCCCACCGCTACTCCCACACTCCCCAAAGGAGGCAACTATCGATGCCTTATGGAGTTAAGAGGCAGTCATGAGAGCTTGTGCCATCAGATTTTCTCTGAAAGGAGATGTATGAAATCAAAGGATGTGTCAACAAAGGAACAGGCGGTGAGGGGTGACCTGGAGGAAGCCAACCACCCAGTACTTCCTGTCAGTGGCAGATGAGAGAGTGGGGGCTGGAAAAGAGTGGTTACTAGGCAACCAGTGCTGCCCATTAGTCTTCTGACCCCTGGCCCCAAGGCAATGAGGGGAGGTGCTTCTGGGGTCAACATGGGAAAGAGAAGCTGTAGGGAGCCACCCTAAACCCAGTCCAGGACATAGCTCCTTTAACAGGTGTCTGGAGGATTCAGACATCAGGAACACCCCACTCTCCTTCACAATGCTAATAGGAGCTGACAACACTATTTTTCCTGGTTGGGTGAGATGAAGAGGACCCTGGCATTTGGCCAAGCATGCACTCCATTCAGAGGCAACCAGGATATTGCCTGTGGACTGGAATCAGGGGATGGGGTGTTAGGGTGAGGGAGGGTGAAGATGGTCAGTGATGGTGATCCATTTGCTTTTCCTCTCCCATCTTTGGAGGCAATGCCCCCTACCATCTCCCTGGGACCCAACCTGAAAAATACTTTGCTTGTTCTCCTTGACCCTCATCCTGATCCTCGAGCCTGCAGAGATCCAGCTGCTGGCAGCAGCTGTAGACCCAGGGCCTTGCATGCCCGACAAGTGCTTACCATGCAGGGGGTTGTTGCATTTTAATTACTTCATTTCACACCCCCTGATGCTCTTCCCTCCTGCCCACCTCTCCTCTTCCAACCAGGCCAAAAATGCTCATTCTCAGCCTGCCTCTTGTTGCTCCATTTCCTTTGAAGCAGTCATGGTCCAGCAGAAAAAGCCCTGGTTCTGGAATCAGAGGATCTGAGTTCAAATCCTGCCTCTGATGCCAACTGCCTGTGGGACCTTGGGCAAGTCACCTAATTTTCCTGGGCCTCAGTTTCCTCTTCTATACAATGAAGTGGTTGAAAGAAATCCTTCCAGCTGCAAATCTAGAATCCTATTCAACATACTCATTCAATTTCTTGACCATATTTCTTCTTTCCCAGCCCTAATATTGTGTCAAACTTCAGTCCTTGTGGATAGAAACTGCCAATTCCTCTGCTTCCATATAGGACATTGGACTACTCCTTTCAAAACTCTCCCCCTTTAGGATGCCAGGTAGGAGTCTCTATACCTGGAGAGGTGATGGCTGGGAAGCCTAAGCTCTTTTCCTCTGTGCTTGGGGCTTTCTAGCCCTCACTCCCTTTTCTGTACTCGGGAGAGTATGTCTTTCTGGAATGACCTTGTTCCTTCCCTCCTCCCCCTCTCCCTTCCCTCATTGAAAGTTCTTTCTTCAGCCTAACCCAACTGTCTATTGATTATTCTCCCTCTTCCCGCATAGCCTTCTTGCCTTGCCATGGTGCTGGTTACATGGTCCTATAGGCTTAGTTACCTGTCCTCTTTACATATGTGTGTCTGAGACTGAGTGCTCCCTGTTGGCTGGGACAGCCAGTGGGAGCTCCCAGGAGGTGGGAAATTCTTCTGCCTAGATGGGGGGACCATGTTTTGCATGATCAAGCCCAATTCTAACAGCAAGAACCCCTAGACTACATGTCAGAACATTCATTCATTCAATAATCATTTATTAAGGGCCTTCTATGTGCAAGGCATTGTGAACACAAAGACAAAAACAAAACAGGCCCTGCCCTCTAGGAGCTTACATTCTATAAGGAGAAACAACATACACACAGAAGTCAATACACGATATATACAAAGTAATTCCAGGGGTGGGTGTGGAGAGGAAACCCGGAGCTACAGATCTGCCCTTCCCTTACTGTGTGACCTCACACAAATGACATCATCTCTCTAGGCCTCAGTTTCCCAATCTGTAACTGTGAGAGTCCTTGTTGTCCTGTGGGATATTAAGAGGGCTGTATGACGTGAAAGCTCTGTTTGAATGCCAATCACTCTGATGGTCTCTCTTGGTAAAAGTAAAGGGAGAAATGACTGTGGAGCTAGCTGTCTTCCCTCCTTCATTCCATGCTTTCTGGGGATGAGCAAGCGGAAACTGAGTCACCCACATCCCTTCTCTCTAGTGAGAAGCATCAGTGACCTGGGCTTGTGGCACAGCTCCTGTGGTGAGGTTTCCTCTCTATGACGTGGACACTGGCTCTTAGAGAGATGAATGGTGGGTGGGTGGGCAGCTTGGCTGGGGGAGAACGATCGTGATGCTTGGACATCTGGGTCACGGTGTTCACGTGGTGGGGGGAGGGCGGTGAAGAAGGAAGTAGGGGTACAGAATGATCTAGTTGTTCCAGATTGGGAGATAATCCAATGTCGGGGTTGGGAGTGGGAGAAGAGAAATGTCACTTCCTAAGACTTCAAGTCCTGTGGTATTGCCAGCAGAGCTGGTGACTCTCTGTGTGTGTCTATGTGTGTGACTGTGTGTGTATGTGCATGTGTGTAGGGATAGGCAAGGGGATGACACATAGCAATATGGATGCCCCCCAACCCCATAAAGCCTGAGCTTGGAGAAATCGGGGAGGCACTTCCTAATTACTCCAAAGTCACCAGGGATCAGCAGCTGCTTTTACCCTCATTCATTCCAAGGTGGTAGAACACTGGGTTGTCCTATCTCAGCCCTCACAAATGGCTGGGAATGTAGGACTGGGGATTTGTCTGTTGGAAGGGACTGGCCCCTGGAGGGAAGTGGCATGTGAGGGGGCTTGGAGAGGAGGATCTTGTTTCTTGGCAGAATATAGATCAAAATTCGAGCTTGGAGATGGTGGAGGGAGAGTGAGGGCTCTTCGATTTTTCCTCTCCAAGTGGCACCTAGCCAGACAGCCTAAGGCAAGGAGAATCCGTCACCCCCGGGCCACAGAGACAGCCAAATAGGTTTCTTTTCCCCCCAGATGGTTGGCCAGGAGGACTGGTTTGGAAACTGCTCTGGGTAAAAGGAAGAGCCAATCTCTTTGCTTCCTTCAATGGGTTTCCAATATCTTGAGCTTCACTTCCAGTGCGGCTGACTAAAAAAGCAGATTCTGTTACTGATTCTGTCCTCATGTGACACCTTGAGTGAACCACTTTCTGCCTTTGGGCCTCAGTCTCCCCATCTGTAAAAAAAAGTTTATGCCTACCAAATACCTCAAGTTTATTGTGATGACAATTTTTTTTTAAGTGAGACTGCTTTGAAAAAGTATGATACTCTCCTGACACATTTCATACCCTTCACCTCTATCTCTGTGCTGGGGTCATCCAATCCTGCTTCCCACATAGCCACAGAAGGCTCAGAAGCATTCATTACCACCCACAGTCTTCTTGTCATTCCCATTTGAAATAACTCTGGCCCCAGAACTCAGCCTCTGCTCAACTAGGTCCCCATCCACTTTCCAGTGGTAGCTGACATAAGATCCTCATTAAGGGCCTGGCTCATCCCAGCCAGATGGGATCCTAATTTAATTAAGACCCTTTAATTAAGACTTGCAACCACACAGCTTCGAAACTCCCAAATGAAGTAAGGTGATTGGTAAGAGAGGGAGATCCCAGCTCCACCAAGAAGAGCATTATCAGGGCAGACAGTCCTAATGGAGAGGGGGGAGGTGTTAGGACTCCCCTATCATGCTTGATGGGGGCTGTGTCTTTCCTTTGATGGCAGCGACTACATTTCTCCCAACACAGTAAGACATCCCTAAGGGCAGGGACTGTCTCCCCCAATAGACCAGAATCTGCTTTGGGGCAGTCTTCCCCTCTCTCAAACTGGACATTCCCTGATACATGGACGGTGTCTCTTCTCCCCGATCATACTCTCCAGGAATGAGGGCCATGTCTTTTTCTTTACTCTCTTTCTTCCTCATACCTAGTACTAGGTCCTACCAGCTGAAATACAAGATAAAATAGGTTGTTGGTTTTTTGTTTGTTTGTTTTCTTGATGTCGTTTAGTCATTTTTCAGTCACGTCCAACTCTTTGTGACCTCATTTGAGTTTTCTCGGCAAGGACACTGGAGTGGTGTGTCATTTCTTTCTCCAGCTCATTTTACAGATGAGGAAACTGAGACAAACAGGGTTAAGTGACTTACCCAGGGTTATAGAGATAGCGAGGGTCTGAGGCCAGATTTGAACTTGGGCCCAGCACACTATTCACTGCACTACCTAGACTTATCTAGAACTCGAGA